CTGGAAAAGGAGGTGAAAGGGGGGGTCTGACCTAGCCCAGATAGATCCTCAATGGAGTAAGAGCCCTGGTTACAGCAGTATGCTGTATGCATCCTTTCAACACGACCGCCTCTAAATGTCTCTCTCTTCCCTGCCCTGTTCCCCTTTGAGTATGTAATTTTCAGGGAAAGCTTGTTCAGAAAACTTTATATCAAAAGAGGTAAACATACCACCTTACAATTAAAATAGCTCAAGTTCACACCCCGGCCAAATTCTGCTCAGTTACATCCCTACAAAGGGAGGTAAATCCAGATGTACAATATGTGGATCTATGAGAACATTCTGGCTCTGCTTCTTAAAGCATGTGGGTGTCTTGGAAGTGATTTTTAGGAACACAAGTTATCGACATTGGTGTGAAGATACAAGGGACACTGCATAAATGCAGAATTTGGATATTGGTATATGCCGGGATGGATCAAGGGTGACTGCAGTGATGCAGTTGCTCCCCTTGCTTTGATTCCTGGTTTATCCAAAGTTTATAACCAACTGCCTGGCAGCAGCAGCAGCAGCAGCAGCAGCAGCAGCAGCATTTCTATTCAGGCAGCAGTGAGAGACTCAATTGACTTCATGGCTTATTATAATTTTCCTGATTCCTTCTAAAACTTTTGTTTCGCTGGTGTTAACAACCCTCTTCTTAATGGTCTTGATGTTCTACTAAACAAGTGATCCTTTCTTGTGCATTTCTGCTGTCTGTTAGCTGTACCTGGTAACGTAGCTCCTATTTAACAGCACTGCAGACTGTTTTTAATTCTAGCTAAAAACACCAAGGTGAACATTAACAAGCATGGGAATTACTTTCAATGAAGCATTGGATGCACTACCAAGATGCTCAAGAAGGCCAGATTTTGTTTTATGAACCTGAAAAAAAGAGATGTCCATTTAATTCTAATGATTACAGGACTAATGAAACTCCATTTTTTATTGTTTTTTTGTCTAGTCTGTTGTGTTTTTTTAACATAATAGCAAATCAAAGCACATTCCAATAAAGTCATATTTGTTTTTGCTTTGATTTTAAACAAAATAATATACCCCCAGGCCCCTAGCATATTAGTATGGTTTCTAATTCCTGTTTAACTGGAGAAAATTATGTGTTATGTTATATGTGATGATACACCACACCATCTGCACCACCTTTTTTGAAATCCTAGATTCTCCTATAGATGTACAGGATCCTAGCTTAACTGACCCCTCACTGCAGTGGGAGAGAAGAATGTCTAGCCACACAAATCCAAGGAGCTGCTCTCAATCCCAGTTTGTCCTTTTGCCTTTGCAGTATTCAGAAATGCAGGAAAATGGTTTGAGACAGGAAGCCAGTGAGGAAGAGATTTCAGGTGAGATGGAGGGGGAAGAGGCTCTGGAAGAGGAGGTGGAACTGGAGGGAGAGGTGGAGGCTGAGGATGAGGCTGCAGCAGAGGAGCAGGAAGCCCTGACCAAGCTCCAAGAATTGCAGAGAGTGAATCGGGAGCTCCGTGAGGAGCTGGAGAAAGTGAAAACTGCCTACGACATGGCCACAGGTACTAGAGCATGAGACCTTCCATATCAAAATTAGATCTGCACTGAAAGTCTTCAGCTTCTATCTCCCAGACACCTTTAAAGGGCACTTCATAACAGCAGCAGCTCTTGAAATCCTTTTCTCCTGTAGCTTGCTGGGTGGAGATACCCACTGCTAGGCCATGGCAGACGCTACCTGAAAACCTCTGCCAAAGACTGTGTGCTCAGTGAGAGCAGCTCATGCAAAAACAGGAGTAGCACCTCATCTGCAATCTTGTGATGGGCTCAGTCTGGGCCACCAGGCTGAAAACAGACCATTGCCAAGTCCTTTTGAGTCAGCTGGGCTGGTATTAAGGAAGAGGCATTGCAGTTCTGCTATGCAAAGCATAACTGGTGGCACTCAGGTGAAGCATTAACCCTCCTGCTGCTAAATTAAATTTAGATTATGTCCCCAGCCAACTAACTTCTTGCTTATGGAATCAACCTCTTTGTCCTCACCAGCCTCTCTTCTCACCTGCCTGAGGGCTCGGCTGGCTCAAAACTGTACTTTGACATTATAGGTGCTGTCTCTTCCTTGCAAAGGCAGCTGGATTTCCAGCAATCCCAGCTGTGCAAAGTGGAGTCCGAGAAGGCAATGCTACAGAAGGAACTCAGAGAGCGAGGAGCCCAGCTCCAAGCCATGTCTGCAAAGGTACTGTCACCCAGGAAAGTTTGTTTCCCAAGGAATCAGGAAATTGGGCTTTCTGTGGCTTGACATACTAGCAGGAGCCTTTTATCTCAGTTTTCTAGCTTGCGAGAGGAACGAAAGCATGAGGAACTGATGGGAACAATAGAACAAGAGAACTACAAACTTCGACAGGTAACCCTGACTTTGGATATAGCAGGTGACCCTGACATTCCCTGCTGTGCTCATCTCCAGCCTGGGCCTGTGCAAATCAAACAAACAGTACCATTTGAAGAGCCCCTTGTGTCTCTTTTGGTCCTTTAGTGCTGAAACTCTAACTCTACAGACCTTTGCCCTGGGCTGGTGCTCTGTCTGGATTCCTGCACTGGTGTCCCATGTCTTTTGCATTGCATCCCCCTCTCAAGACTCAACCCATTCACACCCTTCCAGATTTTGGGGGGTGGGGCTCCTCCTAAGGCATTATGAACTGATTCCCATGTCAGCTTAGTTTTGTAAGGGATGCCAGCCTGGTTAATGCTCTGAGTTGGAATAGCAAATAAAAGGGAATGAGGGGGGAGAGCTGGCTAAGGCAGTCGCATTCCTGGGCCCCACCAAGTCTCATTATTCCACGCCCAAGGCCCCTGAAAAAGGCAAGACAGCTGTGGCGAGCAGCACAGAGGCTCTCTGGGGCAGACTTGATCTCTGCTGCACCATTCTCACCCTGTGTTGGTCTGAATTGTGTCCCCTCAGGACATGGAGGAGCACGACTCCCGTCTGGCCAAGAACACCAGGCTGCTGGAGGAGCTGCAGGGCACAGTCAGCCAGCTCCAGGCTGAGCTTGCTGTGAGCCAGCATCACTTACAGCAGCAGCAGGGCAAGCGGCAAGAAGCGCAGAGCCATGTGGAGGCCCTGCAGCGTGCAGAGCAGCAGACCCGGGTGGCGCTGGAGTGCATGCATGCCAGGGTAAAGGGAGTCTCCTCCCTGCAGGAGGCACTCTGATTAGACAGGGCCCTCCTCAGGCACAGGCACCACAGCAAGCACCTGAGGCTGCTCCTTGGTCCTGTTGTCCTTTGGCACCAGAGTAAACCTGCTTTCCCTGAGGGGCTGGCAGGTCACAGCCCATTCCCTGCACTGCATTCTCAGGGCAGCCTGGTCCCTGCACTCACAGGGCCCTTGATTTTAGTTCTGGGGCCTGCAGGAGTCCTCCCCCACTGCCTCCAAGTCACATAGGGCATTGCACTGCTCCAACAAGTGCTCTCAGGAAGTCCAATGGGTCCATACATGTGTCCAGTGGTTTCTGCTTAGACTCACCATGGGCCAGAGCCAATTAGCCATCAGGTCTCCATGCAGTACTAGCCCAGAAGTACCTGTTGCCAGTCCAGGCCTGTGTCTGGCTCCTTGTGAAGCCCCTTGCATCTGTCCTCTTTGCTCAAAGGAGAGATTTTACAGGAACAAACGGTCTTCCCTTCCCTGGTGTCCTGGGTTCAGCAATGGGGGTGGGGGGGGATCAGAAATTCCAGTCCTTGTACAAAGCCTCCCTATGGCAGAGTTGAAAGGCTGTTACCAGCCAGTGAGTTGTCACTGAGCATGAATTTGAGGAGCCCTCAGCTTTGCTCTTCAGCCTCCACTCAAGCAGCTATTCATTCTGTTTTGTTTTTCATCCCAAGTTTGAAAGGTTTCGAAGCAAAATCATTCAGGCTACACACAGCACAGCTGGCAGCAAGTCCCCTCAGGCTGAGATTGGGGATGAGGAGGTGCTAGAAGTCCTACAGGTATGCAGCTTGGGGCAGAGAAGGAAGGCTTCTGCTGGGACCCTTCCTCTGAGCATGGGATGGAGGGGGATAGGAGGAGAAGAAGCTGAATGATCCTTTCATCTAACATGGTGCTCCCTTGTACACGTACCCAATTCCCAGAGGATCATCATGGAGCGGCTGGAGTTCCACCACATGCTGAGGCAGAAAGGAATGAAGGTCCCATCTCTGCACAACACTGACCTGGCAACGTCACCCATTCTCAATTCCAAGTCTAACAGAAAGAGCCCTGTGAAATAGGCCCCATAAGCACCTGAGAGGTGGTCTGTGCCACCACATCCAGACAAGGCGGTGCTGCCACCTCAGGCTCTTTCCTGCTGCCTTGTTCTTGGTGCGTGGAGGCTGTTTTTAATTTTTTTTCTTTTTTTACTGATACATTAAATGTCTGAATTGGACATGAAGTGTGTTTTGTCACTCACAGCCCAATCCCCTGCTGCTGGATCCCATGGCTGATGCAGAGCTGGAACTGGGGATTGGGGTTATTGGGGACTGGGGAATGATTGGCTTAACTTGCTGCCAATCATTCCCCCGCTCAGATTTTCCCTCTGGAATCTCAGCTTTGCAGAGGAATGGTGAGGGGGTTCCTGCCTGTTTTGGTGAACTCTGGCAAGCCTCCCCTCCCCTGCGAGATGCAGGCACAGCTGTGGGATCACAGTGCTTCCTTGACCCCACCAAGGAGCTCCTGCAGACTGCTGGAATCTGACAATCAGATCCAAGTCTCCTCTGAACACATCCCACCATAGTGTGATTCTCAACCCCTGCCAGACATCACTGGGCCAGATCATCCAGGGTTCAGTAATCTGTAATCCATCCTCCCTCACCTACTTTATATAATAAACCTCTGCAGGAGGCTCTTATACAGTTGTTGTCTGGCTCTTGTCCAGCTCAGCATCCTCCAGCCCACCACAGAGCTTGGAGTCCTGCAAAAACAACAACTTTTCAGCCTGTCTCTAATTTGCTCCTCATTGACTTGATTGATTTGATCCGAAATGAGCCACTTTTAAAAATAAGCATCCCCCCTGGGTGGGGGATGAAGGATGTATGGGGGCTTGACTGATGACTGCAATGGTATAAGTTGCAAGTGGGTCTCTCAGTGACAACATGAAGCTGTGAGAGGGTCCTCCAGACACCTGGGAGGATGAGAGCCAATGCTTTCAGTTCACCTACGTGCACATATCAAGTACAGCAGTGACCTGAAGTCTGAAAGCCTGCAAGGTTTTAGGGACCAATTCAGAGCCTGCCTCCATATCAGTGGACACAAGTGGGTGTAACCACAACCTTGGCCTTGACTGTCTGCACTAATCGTTGCAGGTGAGCCATTATACTAGCAGTTGTGTTTGTGACAGGCCCCGGTTGGGGCTGGGCTGGCAAAGCAGGCTTGCTTGATTTCCTGGGCAGTGGACACAACAGGCAGGGTGTGCTCTTGAATGACCCCTTCGAACATCTGTGCCAAGTTATTTTACCCTCTACCGGGAAATCCACTTGAGCGCATACTCTCTTAGCACAGGCAAGTGCCTAAGATCCTCACAGTGTTGCAATTCTGGCCAGGAAGGAGTAAGAAGGGAGTCTGTTCACTGAGCCCTCGTTGTTGACTGATGATCAAACTGCCAACTGCAAGGGGCTGCAATGAGACTGATGCTTGCCTGCCAAGAACCAGGCCAAGACTAGCATAATGTTTCAGATGATTTCCCAAAGAGCCATAAGCTGGGAGCAGCAGACAAGAGCCCCTATTAGCAGGCAAGCCAGAGGAGCAGAACGCTTCCCTGCTCTGCCCCGTCCACTCCTCTGACCTATTGCAACATTGAGACATGAAGGATCATGCTTCAGACAAACAGTGCTGGATTCACGGAGGCACAATGGGACGGATTCTGATTTCTCACACAGGGCAGGAAAGGCAGAGTAACTGCATTAGCGTCCCTGGAGCAGAGGAAAAGAGCAGGAGTTGGTGCAGTCAAGGGCTGGTCCAGGAATCTCCTCGGCTGGCTGCCCGGCCCCTCCCTGGCCCTGCTCAGAGGTATTGGGCTGTGGAGAGTGTAACTGGAAAATAGGAGAGGCTGGGTCCAATGGTCTGTGCATGCAGCTGTAACCCTTGCTCACCCTCCTCAGCTCCAGGCCTTGTGAATATTTTCCTTTGCAGGCACCACGTGTCTTTGGACTGGGTGGGGTTAAATGTCAGCCTGTGGGAATGGGCAGGTTTGCCCCAGCCAGCGCAGGGGAGGGCAGGGCTGTGCACAGTCAGCTCACAGAAGTTGGCAACTCAGCTGGACCCCTCCTCCCTCCCTTCAAGCTCCCCACCCCCAGCTCCTCCTCTAACCTTAGCTTTACACAACAGTGCACACAGAAAAACATCGGGACTCCTTAGGATAGTCGCCCCAGCCAGAAAAAGGGACTGGCACAGAGAGATTTTCCTCTACTGAACAGCTGCAAGCGGAGCCAGGTGGGACTGAGACCCTCAGGTGAGAGCAGGCTGCAGCTTTAAGCGTGATCTCAGCCAAAAATCATTTCCCTCCACCCCATGTACAACCCCCCCCCCCAAAAAAAATCAACAACCCCTTTTCTTGGGAGGAGGGGGAATCACCGGTACCCAGGTCTGTGCAGGCACTAGGACGAGCTGGCAGAGTCCCAGCCCGAGAGGCAGACAGATCTGAAGCTGTTGGCTGAGAGAAGCCAGCAGAGGAGATGTTTCATTTTACAGCTCCCCCAGGCAAAATGAGCATTGCTGCTTCCGCCAAGTAGGTGGGGGTGGCAAGTGGAGCGCGTGGAGGTGTGAGGGAGAGAGGGGACCTTGGGAGGCTGAGAGTGTCCTGAACACAGCAGTGGAGGCCCCCCGCGCGGAGCGGCAGCTGGCTGGAACAAGGCCCGGGGCTGTGGGGCACGCCGTTCAGAAAGAGATGCCGGGTTCAAGCTAGACCGCAGGCACCACTTCACTGGTGCAAAGCAGCCCCATTCCCAGGGAGTGCCAGGCAGCAGGGATTCCCCCAATGGGGCTGGTGCAGGGCACTTCTCCTAGCCCAGGGGCAGGCAATTATTTCAGGCAGAGGGCCGCTTACTGAGTTTTGGCAAGCCATTGAGGGCTGCACGACATGCAGCCCAGGGAAGATAAATATTAATTTTCTAAATTTTTTAGGGGCCCCGCAGGTTGGATAGAATGGCCTGGCGGGCTGCATCTGGCCCCCGGGCCGCATTTTGCCCACCCCGTCCTAGTCCTATGAAATCCTGGGACCTATTAGCCAACCTCTTCCTGGCCCTGGCATCTCCTGGCCTGGGAAGGAGGCGCTGGTCAGGGGGAACCTAGAACTGCTTTCCTTTCACTCGTCCATGTACTTGACTGAGCTGTTTCACTGGGCAGCATGCACTCAGGCCTTAAATACTTTGTGGAGAGCGAGCAGGCGGTGGCCAGAGCTCTCTACTCACTGTCTTTCCCTGGCACCCTGCGGATTAACCTGTCGCTTGCACTCTTGTTCCTGCTGTGCCACTTTTTGTCCCAAGCAATCGGTGGCTGTGCACACAGTGGTTTCCCTCTGGCCACTGAATGGGGCCTGCAGTTCCTGGTGGGCTGGGTCCACTCGTGGTGCAGCAAACAGGCCTGTTCTGTCCATGTCGCCACTTCCTGATGGGAGCCGGGGCCCTGCAGGAAGGCGGTCTGGCAAGGAAACTCATAGCCAACTGACACCTGGCTGGGGGAGCAGCTCCTTGTGGCTATAGGCAGATAGGCAGTGACTGAGCATAGCCCACAGGCTGCTCCAGTTGCCACCCCACCTACTTGGAGGAAGCAGCAGTGCTCATTATCCCCCATAAAAACAAGACTGGGCAAGGCCCCTGTGTCCAAGCCTAGTCCAGCACCGATCCACTTCAAAGGGGCACTCCCAAGGGAGCTGCCAGCTCTGACCTCCCACTAGCAAAGCAGCCAGCATTTGATTTTAGCAAGCACCGCTTCCACTGCTGGCACCAGCAGGCTCATAGGTTAGGTCTTACTAAGGGGCACTGTTATGTTAGCAATGCCAAGAATGCAAAGCCCCTTATTGACACAATGTGAGCTGGGAACAGAGGGAAGCAAATGCACTTAGAGTGCAAGGAGAAAGGGCCTCCCAAGCACCATGGTCCCTCCTGGCCCACCCATGCCCGTTCCTTCCCGGGCCCACAGCCATTAGCTGCATTTCCATTTTCCCCTCTCCAGTCCTCCACCAAGGCTGGCCTCCCTGCTAGGCGCCTTCCTCCAGGCACTGCTACCTAACAGGGCAGGACAGTGGAGGACAGGGGCTCCTGCCAGAAAGTTATAAGATCACTGCAAACTAGTTATTAAATAAGGTTTGTCCAGCGGATAATAATGTGCACGATCTGAGATGTGAAATATCAGGCTCTCCTGGTGGGGAGGGGATGGGAAACAAAGAAACAAGCTGCACTGCCAGGCCTAGGGCTGCCTTAGATAATGTGCCCTTGGTGACAATGTCACTAGATTTCCCAAAAATCAGGCTTCACATTTCTGGAATGTGACATTCGCTTGCCAGGATCCCAATGCTCGTGAAAAACCTGGGTACATATATACAGCAGCACAGCCACCTTTGGGGTGTGGGGGCAGCCTCCATGTAACAGCAGGGAAGGGGTGGGTTTTGATCAGGGACACAGATCAAAAGCCTGTCCTGGGCTCTAGCATTGGGCTAGCAGGGGTAAGGTGTGGTAGTGTCTGGGGCCGACTGCACACAATTGGGTGATGTCAGTGTTTTGTCGTCTTGTTGCCCTTGGCACCATGCTTCAAGGACCAGGTACTAACTGCGTCCACACCCTTCACCATAAATCCAGGGCAAATGCCTCTAAACACATAGCAAAATGCTGGACCCCCTGGTGACAAGCAGGTCCATGCCTATGCCAGAGCTTTCACAGCTCACTGGGACAAATCCCTACAGAGAATAGCATCAAGCTCAATTTCTGTGTCTCTGGGTAAGCAAGGGCCATGCTAGATATGCTTATACACAAGTATTAAACCTCCCAAGAATCCACCAGCAGGAAAGGAGCTGCCTGGTACCACTTATTTTCCTTTATCTGTTTTTCCTTCGCATGTCAGACATCTGATCCTGCCCAGAGTTTCCTCTTAATCCTGGCATATGTTCCTTATCAGAGCAGTGGATTCCTTCTCCTCAAAACGACTCAGTGGTTGTTACAGAAAGGAGCTTCTGCAAAGAGCAGACAGCCACCTGCCCACTGCACTTGCTGTCTGAAAAACAAAGTATTCAGAGTTGCTAAGGACACGGATCTCCTGTTCTGGCAGAGCCTCAAGACACTGAGGGGCAATGAGGAGCGGGGTGGCTCCAGCACCAAGAAGAGTGTCTCCAACTGCTGGGGGCTCTGGTCCTTTTGCTTGCATCTCCTTGTAACAAGTGGGCCATCCCAGGGCCAGTCTGAATGTTGGCCTGCCCACCCACCTGCTTCACCTTTGATGCATCTTAAATTGCTCCTAGGCAGGAGGATGCCCATTTAATTGCCCTGATGCCAAGGGCAAATACATGGCTCTGAACCTCCCCTTATACTATGTCCCATGCCTCACAGATGGCATTTACATCCACGAATACTCCCACAGCCCCTTGGCTGGGTCAACACACAGCCTCACCCAGCTCAAGCTTGGCCACAGGCATCCTCAGACCTACCTAAGCCTTATGCCCCCTACACTGGTGCTTCTTCCCATGCCCTGCACACTGGGGCCTCAACACCTGGCTCCCTCCGTGGGCTTCTACCCTGCCCTTCACTAGGCCTAATGTCCCTTGGGACTCAGGCCTTGCTCAGTGGGCCTGGGCCCCATCTCAGGCCCCACTCAGTGGGCCTTGACCCTGTGCTTTGCTGTCAGGGTGTGCTCCCCTAGCCTTTCCCTTCCACAGGGTCACCCACAAGGCAGTGGGGGCTCAGGCTTTCCAGCACCCCATCCTCACCTCTCGCTAGGGAGGCATTGGCATGGTATTTCCTGGAGACTGCCCTGCTACCAGCAGCCCCACCACACCATGCTCCCCAGCAGGATGTAATTTTAGGTCATTCCCCAGGACCAGGAACCTGCTCCATTCCCAGTTTCCCACCCTTAACCTCCAGCTGCTCTGGGAGCAGCAGCTCTCCAGCTGCAGCAGCTACCAGCTCTGCTCTTGGGGCCCAGTCTTATACCCAGGCTCCCAGCCTCTCCACCAATCAGGCAGCCTTCTGCTTAACATGTGACTGCCTGACTGGGTCTGCTCCCACCTGCAGGCTGCTTACTCTTCACCCCTGCCTGAAGTGGTGGGATGAACCGCTTTGATTCCCAGTGCCCAAGATGCAGGTTGATGGGTCAATAGTTCGCAACACCCCTGCTGATCTGTACATATGGAAATGGTTGGGATAGTAGGAGTTCAGTTTTGCAGTGAGCCACTTGCTCTGGTGGGATGCATTGAGGGTTCCCTTCAAAGTCCCTTCCAGCTCTGGAACAGGATCCATTTTAAAGCCTGATCCAGCCAACTCATTTGGTTGGCTCACTAGTTTATGTCCTTATTACTCAACAGTCAGGACAACTACTGACCTGGAGTCATTACGAGGGCCTAGAGCCCCTTTTTGTCACTCCTAGACTTAAATAACTGACAGTAATGGGCACTTTCCTCTTGAATAAACGAGGGGCAGGGGGAAGATAAGAAGTGGTCTTGTTAAGTTTTCCTGCTGTCAAGGCATCAGCTGTGACTGCTGTCTGCCTCCGCTTCCCTCTTAGACTTATTTCCTCCACACTTTTGCTTGGGAGGATGCAGCCTCAAGACACAGGCGTTCAGTACAGGCGGTGGAACAACAACAGTCGTGATGAAGTCAGTGTGAACGTGTCCACTGCTGAGGCATCAGGATGTAGGAGGTGAGAACACCTGTAGCTCTGCTGTCTGACAGGCATAGACTCACCACACATACCAAACTTGTTCTGTATGAGCCCTAGTGTTTCCTTGTAGATACCCCCTGTCACCACCAGAGAGTGGGGGGGGGCAGAAAAATGCTGCTGTGAATTGAAATTGTGGCATGACTTGGGGTGGGACATACATGAATTGCTCAGACTGCAGTTGGACCTGCCATTGGGGACAGTGCTTCTATGTGAATGACGAGGGACTTGGGTGGTCAACAAGGATGGATGGGCAGGGCCTTGGTTTTCTGTTTTATCCTCAGGTGCCTTGCACTTCTCCTCCCTTTGGTAAGGACGCCCTGTTTCTCTCCCCAGGGTTTACAATAAGCTGTGCACAGGGAAAGTCGGCATCGCAGTTAAAGTGATCGGAGGAAACATCCTCTTCTGGATTGTTTTCATCATCGGCTATGTGACAGGTTACTATGTGCACAAGTGCAAGTAGAGCAGAACGCAGCCTGCAGACCCCCAGGCCTGGATCCCCCTGTGGCCTAATCCAAAATATCTAATTCCCACTCCCCAGCGCCCCACTTGCAAACATGCCTGGGCGGAGCAGGAGCCTTCACCACATGTCCACACAAAGGTGAACTGTCACCAACAACACTGGCTTTTTTCTGGCCTCTGCCCCATCTCCTGGCACACACGCAGCCACGTGCCACCATCTCTGTGGAGCGTAAGGATGGGGCTGGGCCACCAGCCACCTGGTAATGTGCCTGATTTCAGACTGTGAACTAAGGAGCCACCAGAGGCCCCTTGTCCCTCATGGGCGCCATCCCCAGCACATGCTTTCATCTCACAGTGGCTGCTCCAGGGCAGTGGTGCTGCTCCCTCGCTAGGCTTAGGGTCTCTTCCCAGCTCTCGTTTGAGCCCACCCCTTACTCACAGGCTCTGCAGGGGTGGCGAGTGCACCGGCTGGAGCTGAGGGATGCTGATCCTGTCCCTGAAACTTCCTTAACTTCCATCAGTCCCCGTGGCCATAAAGCTTCCAGGCTGCTGCATACACCCTCGGAGGGCTGGGCTCTTTAGGAGACAGTGGGATGGGAGCCTTAATTGTATTTGAATTGACACCCCCCTGAATTTCCCTGCAAAGGAACTTACTGCTTTTTCCAGTCAGGGTTGTGGACACTGCTGCCTTTTCCCTTAGAAAGCTCTGCTGCGGCCCAGGGCTCAGACACAGCCAGCAATGCAAAGCTCTGTATTTCTCCCCCCTGCCACACAATCCAATCATTGTAAGAAATAAAAGCAGGTTGAAAGTTACCTGGCTCCCCCTGTCTGTGGTCAGGCTGGAACGCATGTACACCCCATGGAGAGGCTCATACTAGGAGATCAGGGAAGCAGCCCACAGGTCTTACAGTGCTCTCCTGTCACTGCAAGTGGAGGAGGAAACTTCTGCCTCCAACAAGTGTGTTGTGTCCCATACAGCGTTCAGTTCCCACCCCAGGCAGAGACTTGATCATGCTCCAGTGAGTCCCCATCAATGGCTCCACTGTCTGCTGGCTCACTTAGGTCTGACGAGGTCACACCTCTTCACACACCAATTAGCATCTGTCAGCAGAAGCACCAACCCCCACCCCATCATACCAGCATACCTGTGTTTGCGAAGGTTCAGATTGCTTTGCTTGTAGGCGGTGGCTTTGCTACCTGAGTAGAAAACCCAGCTTAATGGAACAGCCACCTTCGTTAGGAGCATGTTTTCATGTCAGCGTCTGGTATTCCTGTCCCTAACGTACCCCTGCTGTTAACGGAGCCTTACAAATGCTTCTGGTACAAGCAACTCACCCCTACTCTGATACCAGCAGCTCACCCCTTTGACCCTGCCAGTCAAGCAGCTGTTGCAGGCTGACCCCAGGTGTTGGAGGCCCCATTAACAGATGTTAATGATTTTCCCAACTGATGGGGGGGCGGGGGACTGAGGCTGGGTGCACATGTAAGGGAGAGCTTAGTGTTGGTGTCTCAGGGGCTTTGGCATTAGCTGGAGTCTGTAGCCCTCCCTCCCTGTTTTTTCCTTCTTGCTCCAGGATGTCACATTTACAACCAAACTTTTATTTCCTTGCCGTTTATTCCATTGGCATCCACATCATCCCTCCCCTTCCCCAGCCCCCCCTCAACAAATTTTGCCTTTTCTGAGATCCCCTTTGATCTCCCAGAAAAACTCCCCTCTCTGTGATGCAACAGAGCCCAGGCAAACAATGAAGCCTTTTTAACCAGCTGCTTTCAAGGGTGGGAATTCAAAGTTAAGCCCAGATCTGGGCCACGGAGGGCTGCGTGGCAGAGATGGCATTTTTTGAAATCTTGTTAGCAGCGCAGGATGTCCCTGTGTGAAAGACAGGACAACCACTAAATGGAGCAGGCTAAGTGGAGCCAGGGAACCATCAAGTACATCAACACAGGGCTTCTCATCAGCTCTTTTAAGTCACTGCTTTGTTGAAGAAGCCAAGCAATCAGCAAATGCTGGGATTCCAGGGCAATGAAAACTGGCCATGAGGTGTGCAAAGGCTCTGGTCGCTGCACTGATGCACCCATTTAGGGCCTGCACCCATTGCCCGGACCTCCAAATGGTACCTTGAAGCAGCTTCCCCACAAGCCTGACCCCCTCACATGGTTCAGCAGCCCTGAACCCAGCAGGGTCCTTAGGGACACTGCAGGCTAGAGGACTAAGAGTGAGCTCTTAGGGGTCACTTTTTAGTTAGGGATTGCCAATCAGTTGACAAAGGAGGACCCTTGGGCTAGATGAGGGCAGGGAACTTGTGTCTTAGCTTCAAAGAGCTCTTCTGGGGGTGATTTGCTGTAGCTGGGCTCTCTGCCCAGTGCCAAAGGGATGAGAGGCACCTGTGAGAAGCCTCACCTGGCAGCCCATTAACTTTTTTCCTGCAAGCCCTGGGCTCCCTACCCTTGCAGTGTGCAGTTGGTGTGAAGGGAAGAGACCCTGGCAATCATCTATGGTCCACAAGTATCCCACAAGCAAGGAGCTTTCCTGAATTGACCGTGGGTCTCCCTGAGCTAGGGAACTTCACCCACCACCACAATCAAGCCTGAGAGCCAGGCAGAAAGAGCAGCCTTAGAACAGAGCATTCCCTGGCAACATGGTGCATTAACTGTAGTAGTCAGGGTTAACTCCTTTACTAAAGATTGATGTCATCCACTTGAAGTGGACCATTTTGGGTTCAGGAGTCCATTGTTACAATAAAGGCTTAATGACATCTAGGAGTCTCCCTGCCTCTTCTGAAGATCCAGTATAACACGGTGTTAGGAGTGGCTGAATCCTGCCACCAACAGGAAATCAAACAGGCGATTCCCAAACAACGGATTGGACTTTAGCAGCTGCTGAATCCAGCACAGGGCAGAGATGGCGGGGGGGCTCTACCTGCAGCAGAGCCCAATACAGTGCCGAAGCTGGCTACAGAGACCATGCAGACACTCAAAGTTGCGCCACCAGAACAGTTTGATTTCCAATCCCCTGGAATGTGGCCTTGATGTATCAGGTGTTTTAATTGCTTCAGGGAAGTGCAGGGTCTGGACAAACAGTTGGAAGCTTATCAAGTGAGTACCTACTCTATGGGAGATCAGGTGAACGCAATTCTGCAGTCACTGCCCCTTACAAATGCAGAGAAAAAGCAATATGTTGCAGTGATAGAAGCATTAACTGATCATTTTCTGGGCAAAAGAAATGTGATTTATGAATGAGCTACATTCAGTCTCCATAAATAGGAGCCCTCAGAACCTGTGGACAGATTCATCACATCTTCGCATACATTGGCTGAATCCTGCCAATATGGGGAGCTTAAGGAGGAGATAAGTAGGGACTGTTTAGTTTATGATACAGATCTCTGACAAAGGTTACAGTTGGACCCTGATTTAATGCTCCAGAAGGCTATCACACAGGCTCGCCAATCAAAGCTAGTTAAACAGCAAGAAAGAGAAATCAGGAGTGACTCTCGGTCATGTCAGGCATTAGTAAATATGGATGCAATGCACACTGTAAAGAAACTACACACAAATAGGATTGGTAGGAGCAATGAACACAGGGGGTGACCCCACCAGTGCCCACAGCAACAAACAAGTGGAAAAAAGGGCCAGTGCTACAGGTGTGGTCAAACCCTAGGACATAGTCATGTTCAGTATTCTGCTACGGGAAGGGTATATTGGCGATGTAAAAGAGAAAGGTCCCCATGCTTCAGTTTGTCGCTCCACCACCAGAGTCTTTGAAGTCAAAGAACAGGATACAGAGGATTGCACAGTAGTTTTAGATGAAGTTACAAAGTCTTCATCAGATCCAGGAGTTTGGATGACAGAAATTGAGCTCAACGGATAGCCAATGCCATTTCAAACAGATACAGGAGCAGCAGTCTCAGCTATCTCTGATCCTTACTACATAGGGATGGCATTCTCCTTACCCCTACTAAACACCTATGAGGACCAGGTAACACTATTCTCAAACTACTGGGATCCTTTAATGCAAAGATGACACTGAAGCAGAGATGTATAGATCAGGAAGTCTATGTGATTGGTAATCTTGCTGTGCCTTTACTTGGCATACCAGCCATACAGGCACTGCAACATGTCCACTGACTAGATGAAACCAGAAATCCTTGGAGTAGTACTACAGAACCAAATACACATCTTTTCTGGTCTTGGAAAAATGGCAGGTGAATATCAGATACCCCTAAAAGCTGATGCCATTCCATATGCATCAATACCCAAAAGGGGTACCAACTTTGCCACTAATGGACAAAGTTAAAGAGCTAACATGCATGGAAGAAATGGGAGTAATTACAAAGACTGAAGAGCCCATTCCTTGGTGTTCTGGGATGGTGGTTGTGCCAAAACCCAATGGTAAGATTAGGATATGTGTTGACATCACATAGCTGAACAAATGTGTGTGCAGAGAAAGACACGTTCTTCCTTCCACGGAACTCACCTTGGGTCAACTTGCAGGAGTCAAAGTTTTCACAAAATTGGATGCTCGGGCAGGGTTCTGGAAGGTTTCTTTTGCTGTCAAATCGTCCAAGCTAACAACTTTTATTACTCCATTTGGTCGCTACCAGTTTAAATGTCTACCTTTTGGAATCTCATTAGCTCCTGAATTCTTTCTGTTTTGGATAGCACAGATATTGGATGGCCTAGACGGTGTTCTTTGCTATGCTGATGATATTTTGGTTTTGGGACCACCAAGGCACAATATGATGCAAGGGTGGACGCAACACTCAGAGAACTCCAAGAACCTGGAGTTACACTTAATGAAAAGTGCACTGTTGCTAATTCGCAGCTCATGTTTGTGGGATATTGGATTACACCACATAAAATCCAACCAGATCCATCAAATGTTGCAGCCATCAAGGGGTTCTCAGAACCCAAGGATGTCCCAGTATTACACAGAGTTTTAGGTATGGCCACATCTTGGGCTGTTTTGTGCCAAACTTGGCAACAATAACAAAGCCTTTAAGAGACCTCTGAAGTGACAAGAATATATGGCTCTGGGGACTGCTACAGCAGTCGACCTTCACTGACATCAAGTCTGTACTCCATTTCTCCCTGATACTGGCCCAATATGATCCAATATGAGAAACTTGTATTGCAGCAGATGCTTCATCATATGGGCTTGGAGGAGTGTTACAACAACGTCAGGAAGCCGGCCACTGGGCCCCTATTGCTTTTGTGTCGAGCGCTTGCTCCACCTGAAACTTAATATGCCCAAATAGAAAAAGAAGCACTAGCAGTTACATGGACATGTGAGTGACTTAGAGCTTTCCTTATGAGCCTTACTTTTACTTTACAAACTGATCACAAGCCACTTGTGTCTCTATCAGGAGACAAACCTCTTGATGAACTTCTGGCAAGAATCAAGAGATTTTGCCTCAGAATACTGAAATTCACCTACAGTATAATGCACATCTTGGGAAAAGTTACAAACAGCTGCCACTCTTTCTAGGGCACCATTACAGCCTCCATGGTCTCCGGAAGAACTCCACCAGGAGCAAGATACTGCTGTTTATGTGGACCTTATTGTGGATGGGATACCCATATCTGCTTCACTACAAACGAGAATTCAGGAAGCTCAAGAAGCTGATTCCTCTTACCAAAAGATAAAGAAAATACTGCTTGGAAGGTTGGCCTCAAGTAAGATTCAAGAACAGTGAACTGGCAAAGTACCAACAAGAGAGCCTCAGTCTTCATGTTGTCAGCAATTTAGTTATGTTCTACAACAGAGTACTGATACCTTCAACACTATGCCAGGAAATCCTAGAGAAGATTCATGA